GTTTAGATGGTATCAATTTAGGGAAAACGTGGTGGTATGGGTCTTACATCTCCGCCCTACTTACTCACTTAGTATAGTACTCCACGCGCTTCTCTCCAAAACTAAATTGACGATTCCTTGATGTCTCAGAATATGCTAAGACTGCCTGGCGTTCGATTTTCCTGGCTGCATGTATAGTCTTTCTGTCATGACGCCATCAAGTTTTCATTACAGCGAGGTGCCTTAGGTGCAGGACTAGCATACGGTCGTTGATGCATAGACACGTGCCAACGTTGCGTCAAAGCCAGTTCGTGCGTCACTTGTATCCGCATGATGCTTTGCGCCTCTACCTGGGAGGCAAAGCAGATGTTGAGCAGAAAGCTACGAGATTCGCCGGCGCCGGGATGAGAGCAAAAGGGATTTTGCAATGATGGAGGAGCATGCCTGCCGCTTGTATCAGGACAACTACCCTAGGTACCTACTAGGTAGGTAGACTTTGGACTTGCAGTAGAGGCGGAAGGAGCGGGGCAGAAAGGATGGGGCCTTGCTGCGTTCTAGGCCTTTCGTCTTGCGGCGAACAGTCCGTCTTGGTGTTGTGACGCTGTTCTATTGTCTAGAAACCATCACGTACTTTAGCAATTTCAATGGAGACATTCAAGGAATTCTGCAATTGACACTTGCATGTTGTGATGTCCGAGAGGCCATTGTCTTAGATCCAGGTTTGTCCAAGTGTTTTCTGCTCAAGTTTTCCGCTGTATCGGATTGGTTCCAAATCCTGTTGGGCGGTAGGTGTCCTACGTTTGTAGAGTTGGTAGGTGGATCGCCCTCGAACAGTCTGGATAATTGCAATGTACATATTATTTTTTGCTTCTCCTTTTTCATGATCGCCATGCCTCTGGTGCTGAGTCATGTCAACCGGAGCAAACCCCCTCCTTCTCCGTAGCGGACATGGATCACGTTTGCTGGAATTGCCAAACAATGAGGCCAACTGGCACGATTCGGACCGTCACCCTGTCTTATCCACCAGAAAACGGCCGTCTACCTTGAACACTGAGCATTCCGCTCGGGCTACAGCAGGTGGATATGAGACGGTGCCACTAGTCATATGCGTTTACTCAGTAATACAGCAGACAGCTTTACATCCTGGTTAAGGGCTTAGATACCCCGGGTTGGGTACTCGGTAGGGAGATATCATGGTTAGGCCCAGGACGATGCGGGCCTCTCGGCCACCGGCATACTATAACAGAGTGGCATGGTGGGAAACAAACACTCGACGCGAGACGAGAGTTTTGGGTGCGGTTTGCCTTGCCAGGAGCCAAGCAGTCTGTTGTACGGACTACGTAGTCTGCAGCCCGGCCCAGTCTTCCTTGTCCACAGAGTGCGCATATGAAGGCTCCTGGCTGACAGCAATGCTTGCTCTCGATCACCTTTGCGGAAGAACATGTGCCATTGCAAATCCCACCCACCTTGGCTACCTAGGTAGGTGAATCTGAAGCGTACGATTTCTCCTCAATGGACTGGTACCGAAGTTGCATTACTCCTGACGACTTCCCAAATCAGCAAAAGGTACAGAGAACAGTTTCTTTTTTTCTTTTCTTTTTTTTTTTTGGGGGGGGGGGGGGGGGGGGCAGGGGGGGGTCC